CCTTTTGTCTTGTCTTGTCTTGTTAATCACACACACACCTGGTACTCCCTCATTAGTCTGTGTATAAGTGTTCCCTCTGCCCCCTTGTCCTTTTGAGTGATTGTTCATTGTGAGAGTGAGTAGCTCGGTTGAGCGGTAGAAGGATTACTTTATAATATTCCAGGTATTCTTTAAAGAGGTAGGGTTTCAAGTGTCTCCGGAAGGTGGTCAGTGACTCCGCTGTCCTGGCGTCGTGGGGGAGCTTGTTCCACCATTGGGGTGCCAGAGCAGCAAACAGCTTTGACTGGGCTGAGCGGGAAATGTGCTTTCGTAGAGGTAGGGGAGCTAGCAGGCCAGAGGTGGATGAACGTAGTGCCCTCGTTTGGGTGTAGGGTCTGATCAGAGCCTGAAGGTAAGGAGGTGCCGTTCCCCTCACAGCTCCGTAGGCAAGCACCATGGTCTTGTAGTAGATGCGAGCCTCAACTGGAAGCCAGTGGAGTGTGCGGAGGAGCGGGGTGACATGAGAGAACTTGGGAAGGTTGAACACCAGACGGGCTGCGGCGTTCTGGATAAGTTGTAGGGGTTTAATGGCACAGGCAGGGAGCCCAGCCAACAGCGGAGTTGCAGTAATCCAGACGGGAGATGACAAGTGCCGCTTTTTGTGTAAGGTAGGGTCGTACTCTGCGAATGTTGTAGAGCAGGGTTCTTCAATTCCAGTCCTGGAGGGCCAAAACACTTCTGTTTTTTATTTCTACCTGGTAGTTAATTGCACTCACCTGGTGTCCCAGGTCTGAATTAGCCCCTTATTAGAAGGAGAGGATGAAAAACAGAGGTGTTTCGGCCCTCCAGGACCGGAATTGAAGAACCCTGTTGTAGAGCATGAACCTGCAGGATCGGGTCACCGCCTTGATGTTAGCGGAGAACGACAGGGTGTTGTCCAGGGTCACGCCAAGGTTCTTTGCACTCTGGGAGGAGGACACAATGGAGTTGTCAACCGTGATGGCGAGATCATGGAGTGGGCAGTCCTTCCCCGGGAGGAAGAGCAGCTCCGTCTTGCCGAGGTTCAGCTTGAGGTGACCATTGTTCTAGGTTGCTAAGGGGAATGGTAGCTGTGCCATTTACCTTGGCCCAGAGTGTGTCCAATTTGTTCTCTCTCTCTCTCTCTCTCTCTCTCTCTCTCTCTCTCTCTCTCTCTCTCTCTCTCTCTCTCTCTCTCTCGGTTAATGGCTCCATATAAATGTCCGAGGCGGTTTTCACATTGATTATTTTGGTTGAAATGACATGGGAAACAATGTTGATTCAACCAGTTTTTGCCCAGTGGGTGGTGTCAAGTGTAAATAAGATTGAGAACACTTCGGGAGGAGGGTAGGAGAGAAACATACTGTATAGAGAGAGACATACTGTATAGAGAAAGAGGGAGACAGAGAGAGGACAGTGTGTGTGTGGGAGAGAGAGAGGGAGAGCAGGTGCATCACTAATGTCTTGTTAAAAAGGTTACAGCATGGCGCTCCTCTTTTCTAATGGGGCTCCGACTGTGCTTGAGAGGCAATTTCCGGAGAAGATGATGGTGCTATGAGAGAGTGCTGGGAGTTCTCAGTGTGTGTGTGACTTTGTGTGTGATTGAGAGAGAAAATGTGTGTGTGTTTATATGCCAGCTTGCATCTGTCTGCGTATTTTGAAGAATTACTGTAGCCTATCAATTCATTTATTTGAAAAATGCTGTACATAAAATCAGCCGGCTGTTCCAAACACCCATTCTCAGCATTTTGTCAAATATCACATTTCCAAATTGAGTCTAAATTAAACAAAACAAGTACTACTCTCAATAACCCAAATCAGCATTTTTAAAATCATACTGTGAAGTGTGCATTTTCCTCTCAATAAATTACAAGTGAGGTAAATGTCGCCACCATGTGGCCAAAAAACACTCTCACAGTTTGAGATGGACCGTTCCTTGAGTTTGAATGCTTTGTTTGGAACCAATTTGTCCAATATAAACAGCAACATTTCTCTCACATGTTTTATTTCAAGGATAAATTATGCCTTTATTTCTTTAAAGGGGCAAACTGCGATTGCTACATCAATTTTTGGACTTTTAAATTAAGAATATACACCCATTGATACTTGAAGAATGTAACTTATAAATGCCTCATGAGCTTGGGGAAATTGTCATACCCCACCAGAACCAAAAATATCAGCTTGTTTTAATTCTTTATTTGTAAAAAATGAAATTGTAAACAAACACTGTATAGCCTCAAAACATGGTTAAAACTATCAGTTTGATCTTATGGAATTTGAGAGTGAGTTAATTTTTCCAGCCCCATCCCTCAGCTATTTACCAAAACACTGGTGGGGAGGTCACTTTGCTGTTTTTTGAACTTTCAGGGAGAAATATGTTCATATAACACTAGGTGAAACATTGCACCATACTGGATTGCTTTGTTCAGTGTCCTTACATTTCTTTTTGGTAAATGCTATTAGGAATCTCAATGAGAGAGTGGAATCATTAAATAAATGATGCCTTCAAGGCTTAATCATATAAAACATGTCAGTAGTGAGAAGAAGAACTCATTAAGTTTTCTTCCAACCAGAGCTTCCAACAGCAGTGTGAAAGGTAAATGAGAGCTTGTCAAACTTGGTATAGCAATAGGCATTTCTTTATTTCTTATCTGACAAATCTATCCAAAACAGAGGATACATCATAATATGAATACAACATCATAATGAGCACCTTCTTCATGAAGACGCCTTTCTAACGGGTCCTCAGAATTCCTGAAATTCCACTTAAGTTATGATGACTGCATGGTTATGGTAGGAGTATATGACAGCCAGGGAACCCCCCCAAAAAGTTTGGATCAACACATTAACAGTTAGGATGTTGTGTTTTTCAGGCACATACACACACTTCAGTCATTCACTCACTCTCTCAAGTTGAGTCAATTGTTGATCACTGACTGTACAGCACGTGTTAACAATGTGTCTGTTATAGAATGTCACTTCACTTCTCTCTTGATGCTACAATCCAGCTAAAGTTAGATGTTTGCTACTCTTGCTCTTAAAAAACAGTTTCAGGTAGCTTGATGCTCTTGTTAGCATGACTGATATAACATACAGTATAACATAATCAAATACAACAGGAAACCTATATACCTTTAAGACACGATACACTCTTGTTCCAGTGTTATAACTAGACTGGAGAGAGAATGGAGGGAGTGAAGGTGAAAGAGAGAATGAACGAGGGAGATAGACAGGGTGGGGAATAGAGAAGAGGTACAGTACAGATGTTGCACTGAGAAAGACGGGGTGGAAGAGAAGCCTGGAATCCAAAGTGAACATACTTCCTTTTTACTTTTGTTACAACAGATCGATAGTTGGATTTAGACTATTTAAAGACAAGGAGAAGTACGACAGGGCAAAGTGATGACGATGGTGAGGAAGAGGAACATGAGGAAGAGGGTAGGGTCTGTGTAACTGCCATGCTAAGTGAAAGAGTGAACCACACTGACCTCACAGCAACATTTAGCTGCATGAATATAAAAATCGATAGAAATACATAACAAGTAAACAAACCACAACTGAATGAATGACAGGTAGCCAGTCCACTTCAATAGTGATAATGAATGACAGGTAGCCAGTCCACTTCAATAGTGATAATGAATGACAGGTAGCCAGTCCACTTCAATAGTGATAATGAATGACAGGTAGCCAGTCCACTTCAATAGTGATAATGAATGACAGGTAGCCAGTCCACTTCAATAGTGATAATTAATGACAGGTAGCCAGTCCACTTCAATAGTGATAATGAATGTATATTTAAAGAAATATATCAAATGTATATTCCAGTATGTAGGAAAGTTATTGGGTGTTAGTAACCGGGCTGTTGCATTGTGACGTCTTGAGAGTCTTTGAGCTATTAATGTATGTTACATAACATTTTCATCCAGCTGTATAATAACAGTAATGTAATCATATGTTGTTATATCCAGTTGAATGTTACAACATCACATTACTCTAGTGTGAAGCTACAGCAGAGCAGAGACTAGTATTTAACTAAACTAAATATCCACCAAAACACAAAATACACAACATATACTTAATCATATATAAGCATATAACCATCTGTTAGTTAATCTGCACCATCACCATCATTTACAAAAGTGCCTCCTCTTTCACCACATAAAAATATTTTAAAAAATCTTCTTAACTGTTCTTATTCCTTTGTCTTGGTTATTTTTCCTGAGTTTTACAAACGGCTCCTTTGATTCGATCGTTCAGTCACTGAGGGCTTATATTGATCTTTCCACTGTGTTTTTATTTTCTTTCTGTGCCGTTCAACCACTGTTCAGAGTGTTCTCTGTCTGAACACTAAAGACTAGAAGAAGAAAAGGAGGAGACCCAAAAGGAGAAGTGGAGACGAAACAGTAGAACTGGGACGAGGGAAAAGGTACTGTAATTGCTTCCACAGCTCTTAGTAGTCTTGGCTTTGGTGAGCTTGTATTTGTACCTCACTGGGTCATCTTGGGGAAAAAATTCAAAGAGTAGGAGGCAAAAAATAACTTTTGATGAACAAGGTCGAGACAGACAGAGGAAGAGGACGCCATATCCGATCAAATCCGTTTAGCTCGTAGAGAGGGACTTCCATGGCCGTCGCCAGGGTCATCTCCATGGTGATGGTGAAGTTGGCGGCTCGAGGAGGAAGTTGCCCTTTAACCGCTAACCACAGATCTAGTATCAGATTCCCCTTACCCCCAACCCTAACCTTAACCATACAAGGATGACAAGGTATTTCACCCTGTATTAATGTAAACTTCAACCTACTTCAGGGTCGTATTCATTACTGCACACCATAGCAAAACGTTTTGCAATGAAAAACGAAAACAAGCCTTTCTTATTGGACAAGTCCAGGTAGTCCCTCCCTGTTTCAGTCAGTTTTATTCCATTTGGTGCCTAATTAATACAACCCATGTAAGGGTGCTTTGAGGTTGGATCTGGGTGATTTAGGTTCTAGGTTCCATGTTCTAGACCTGGGTGGAGAACGAGCGTTGGAGAGGGGGCCGCCCCTCAGGGTGGGCGGGGCAGGGGGCGGGACAGGGGGCGTGGTGCTCGGAGATGGAGGGCAGGTCTAGACTTCGCTGGAGATGAAGCGCCGCGAGGGGAGGAGCACATCGGGAGGGCCGGGGCACAGGTATGGCTGATGGTCATGTGATCTCAGAGTACGGTAGTCCTGGCACCTGGGGGAGGGGAGAGAGAAGGAGAGAACAAGGTTAGGTGGAAAGAAGGATAGGAATGTGTTAAAGGGTTAGATGTACCGAGGGATAGGACAGGGTGGAAGAGGGAAATAATACATGGTTTAAAGAGGAATAGGTCTGTGTTGGGAGGGGATAGGACAAGGTTTAGACAGATCAAGTTTCATAAAGGCTGGAAAAGGGGAGGGCATTATTGAACAATATCTTCTATTCAAACTTTATTTATCCAGGTTAGTCATAAGGGATATGAGGGTTAACCAGGCGAGAGAACTCATGCAGCAACCAAACCAATAAACAAAAGAGACCCATAAAAAAAAGACCCTTCTTGTAAGAATGAATATGAACAAATGAATTAATTGAATTCACATTCATATTTGAATTCATATTTACAAGAGATTTGAGGATGGCTCATTTTATGAGAACACGATCCCCTCTGACCCCCAAGCCCTTACCTGAGGGCCACTTAACTTTTCAAGTGGACTCTCCACGCGAGGTAGGGTGGACAGCTGCCTGCCGTGGGGGAGCTGAGGGCGCTGGGGGGGCAGCGGGGGCAGAGCTGACGCCGTCTGCTGGAAGTTGTTGATAACACACGACACCTGGTGGAGAGAGGTGGAGATTGGAGATGGAAAGAGAGACAGAAAGAGAGAATGAGAGCGATAGATGGAGAGAGAGGGTGTAGGGAGAGGAAAGAGTTATAAGGAAAGAGGGAGAGAGAGAGAGAGAGAAAGAGAGAGAGAGAGAGAGAGAGAGAGAGAGATAGAGAGAGAAAGAGAGAGAGAGAGAGCGAGAGCGAGAGAGAGAGAGAGAGAGAGAAAGTCTGTAAAAATGTGCTGCTGAATACAAGTTATTTAAAGTGATGTAAATTGAAACATTGCAGCTCTAACTTGAAACTGAATGCGTAATGCACAAAATTCCCAATTCCCCCTTCCTCCAACTCCACTCTCCTACCTGCACCCCCATCCCCATCCCCACACCTACACCCACCACTACCCCTACCCCCATCTCCGCTCACCAGCCCTCATCCCCACCCCTACTCCCCCAGTCACCTCACTAGGAAGGCAGCGATGGCCCCTCCGGTCAGGTATCCAGCCAGGACGTTACCCACCCCTACCCCCTCCCCTCCCCGCCACCCCTAACCCCACTTCCACCACCTCCCCATCCCCTACTCCCCAGTCCCCTCACCAGGAAGGCAGCGATGGCCCCTCCGGTCAGGTATCCAGCCAGGACGTCAGCCCAGTGGTTCCTGTACTCTGTGACCCTCACCACCCCCACCAGCACAGCCAGGGACAGGAGGGTCAGACACAGGGTGGGCTTGGTCAGCCGGGTGCCCTTAGTACGGAACATCAGCGTCACGTACATCTGAAAAACAAACACAGAAAGGAATAGTTTATTTAAAAGGTACTCTGCAGACACACACAGAGAGATGGAGGTTTAGATGCAAGCAGAGCTATAAAGTCTAGATATACCCTCTACCTCCACAGAAGCACACACAGAGCTATAAAGTCTAGATATACCCTCTACCTCCACAGAAGCACACACAGAGATATAAAGTCTAGATATACCCTCTACCTCCACAGAAGCACACACAGAGATATAAAGTCTAGATATACCCTCTACCTCCACAGAAGCACACACAGAGATATAAAGTCTAGATATACCCTCTACCTCCACAGAAGCACACACAGAGATATAAAGTCTAGATATACAGTACCTCCACAGAAGCACACAGACATGTACAGACACATACAGTACATTCACACAAAACAATGATATCAGAAAATATATCTCTATTCTTCCCGGTGTCACACTTTATTCCTTCCCCTCTAACTTCCCCCCAGTTCCTACCACAGTGTAGACAGCAGAGTAGATGCTGAGGGCCGCGTCCTTGGAGGGGAAGGACTTGCGTGCGGACGCCACCAGGTAGGGGTTCCCGGTGCAGGCGCGGCGCTCTGTGATGTACTGCATGGGGGACTGGCAGCCCAGGATGGTGTAGTTGGGGCGGCAGGCAGACAGGAAGTGAGGGGTCTGGTTTCCTGTCACCACCTGGCCCGCGTTGGCGAAGATAGTGGTGGCGAAGAGGCCGAATGAGTAGACGCCTGTGGGGGTGGAGGAGGTGGAGGGTGAGGGGAGAGGATGGGGAGGAGAGAGAGAGGGACAGGAGGTGGAGGTGGTGGAGGGTAAGGGGAGAGGATGGGGGAGGAGAGAGAGAGGGACAGGAGGTGGAGGAGGTGGAGGAGGTGGAGGGTGAGGGGAGAGGATGGGGGAGGAGAGAGAGAGGGACAGGAGGTGGAGGAGGTGGAGGGTGAGGGGAGAGGATGGGGGAGGAGAGGAGGAGGGACGGAGGTGGAGGAGGTGGAGGTTGAGGGGGAGGATAGGGGAGGAGAGAGGAGGGGCAGGAGGGAGGAGGTGGAGGGTGAGGGGAGAGGATGGGGGGAGGAGAGAGGGGACAGGAGGTGGAGGAGGTGGCAGGGTGAGGGGAGAGGATGGGGGAGGAGAAGAGACAGAGGGCAGGAGGTGGAGGGTGAGGGGAGAGGATGGGGGAGGAGAGAGAGAAGGGACAGGAGGTGGAGGAGGTGGAGGGTAGGGGAGAGGATGGGGAGGAAGAGAGAGGGACAGGAGGTGGAGGAGTGGAGGGTGAGGGGAGAGGATGGGGAGGGAAGGAGCAGAGGGAGGAGGGGAGGAAGGTGGAGGAGGGGAGAGGGAGGGGAGAGGAGGAGGGCGAGGCGAGGAGGGGGAGACCAGGGTGAGTGGGAGGAGGTGGAGGTGAGGGGCAGGAGAGGATGGCCGGTGAGGAGAGAAGAGGGAATGGAGGTGGAGGAGTGGGAGGTGAGGAGGATGAGGGATGGAGGGAGGAGAAGAAGGGAACGAGGTGAGGAGTGAGTTTTGAGGGGAGATGGCCGAGGAGAAGAAGGCATCAACAGGAATGGTGAGAGGAGGAGTAGGGAGAGGAGGGGAGGAGAGAGAAGGGACAGGAGAGAGGGTGGAAGTAGAAGTGAGGAAGAGAGAGCACAAGAAAGAGATAAGAAGGACGTATATAGAGCAAGACGAGTGAGATTATTAGGCTAGTTCGCAGACAGTACTGAGGAGCTCCAAGTTTATGAAATAGGATAACAGGAATGGCAGTCATGACTAAGCGAGTACAGGAAGGTATATCCTGCGGAGGATATAACAGCATAGCGTCAATGGTTTCCTAGCCCTTGCTTAAAAGAACTTGTCACCCTCCATCAGATTACAAGCGGCAAGGACACGGAGAGGTTAGTTAAACACTGAAAGAGCTAGAGCCCCCAAATATTAGAACGGTATCCGGTATTATACTCAATTCTTGTATATGGCATTATTTATGGCTAGTTTCAGCCAGCCACAGTAACCTACAGTCGTGGTCAAATGTTTTGAGAATGACACAAATATAAATTTTCACAAAGTCTGCTGCCTCAGTTTTTTTGATGGCAATTTGCATATACTCCAGAATGTTACGAAGAGTGATCAGATGAATTGCAATTAATTGCAAAGTCCCTCTTTGCCATGAAAATGAACTTAATCCCCCAAAAACATGTCCACTGTATTTCAGCCCTGCCACAAAAGGACCAGCTGACATCATGTCAGTGATTCTTTCGTTAACACAGGTGAGAGTGTTGACGAGGACAAGGCTGGAGATCACCCTGTCATGCTGATTGAGTTAGAATAACAGACTGGAAGCTTTAAACTGAGGGTGGTGCTTGAAATCATTGTTCTTCCTCTGTTAACCATGGTTACCTGCAAGGAAACACGTGCCGTCATCATTGCTTTGCACAAAAAGGGCTTCACAGGCAAGGATATTGCTGCTAGTAAGATTGCACCTAAATCAACCATTTATCGGATCAACAAAAACTTCAAGGAGAGAGGTTCAATTGTTGTGAAGAAGGCTTCAGGGCGCCCAAGAAAGTCCAGCAAGCGCCAGGACCGTCTCCTAAAGTTGATTCAGCTGCGGGATCGGGGCACCACCAGTGCAGAGCTTGCTCAGGAATGGCAGCAGGCAGGTGTGAGTGCATCTGCACGCACAGTGAGGCGAAGACTTTTGGAGGATGGCCTGGTGTCAAGAAGGGCAGCGAGGAAGCCACTTCTCTCCAGGAAAAACATCAGGGACAGACTGATATTCTGCAAAAGGTACAGGGATTGGACTGCTGAGGACTGGGGTAAATTCATTTTCTCTGATGAATCCCCTTTCCGATTGTTTGGGGCATCCAGAAAAAAGCTTGTCCGGAGAAGACAAGGTGAGCGCTACCATCAGTCCTGTGTTATGCCAACAGTAAAGCATCCTGAGACCATTCATGTGTGGGGTTGCTTCTCAGCCAAGGGAGTGGGCTCACTCACAATTTTGCCTAAGAACACAGCCATGAATAAAGAATGGTACCAACACATCCTCCGAGAGCAACTTCTCCCAACCATCCAAGAACAGTTTGGTGATGAACAATGCCTTTTCCAGCATGATGGAGCACCTTGCCATAAGGCAAAAGTGATAACTAAGTGGCTCGGGGAACAAAACATTGAAATGTTGGGTCCATGGCCAGGAAACTCCCCAGACCTTAATCCCATTGAGAACTTGTGGTCGATCCTCAAGAGGCGGGTGGACAAACAAAAACCCACAAATTCTGACAAACTCCAAGCATTGATTATGCAAGAATGGGCTGCCATTAGTCAGGATGTGGCCCAGAAGTTAATTGACAGCATGCCAGCGAGGATTACAGAGGTCTTGAAAAAGAAGGGTCAACACTGCAAATATTGACTCTTTGCATAAACTTAATGTAATTGTCAATAAAAGCCTTTGACACTTATGGAATGCTTGTAATTATACTTCAGTATACCATAGTAACATCTGACAAAAATATCTAAAAACACTGAAGCAGCAAACTTTGTGAAGACCAATCCTTGTGTCATTCTCAAAACTTTTGACCACGACTGTACGTGGTCATACAGTAGTATCATACAGTATTAACAGTACAACATGGTAAATGGAAATATTCCATTCTGTTACAACTTTCACCTGGAGAAGTAACTGTACATTACATTTTTATGGTTGTTGAATAATCAATGTCGAGTGGTGGAAACAGCAGGGCAGATCCCTGGTATAGTGTGGAAAGGAGGTGGGTACTGGTATAGTGTGGAGAGGAGGTGGGTACTGGTATAGTGTGGTGAGGAGGTGGGTACTGGTATAGTGGGGAGAGGAGGTGGGTACTGGTATAGTGTGGAAAGGAGGTGGGTACTGGTATAGTGTGGAGAGGAGGTGGGTACTGGTATAGTGTGGAGAGGAGGTGGGTACTGGTATAGTGTGGTGAGGAGGTGGGTACTGGTATAGTGTGGTGAGGAGGTGGGTACTGGTATAGTGTGGAAAGGAGGTGGGTACTGGTATAGTGGGGAGAGGAGGTGGGTACTGGTATAGTGTGGAAAGGAGGTGGGTACTGGTATAGTGTGGAGAGGAGGTGGGTACTGGTATAGTGTGGAGAGGAGGTGGGTACTGGTATAGTGTGGTGAGGAGGTGGGTACTGGTATAGTGGGGAGAGGAGGTGGGTACTGGTATAGTGTGGTGAGGGGGTGGGTACTGGTATAGTGTGGTGAGGGGGGTGGGTACTGGTATAGTGTGGTGAGGGGTGGGGTACTGGTATAGTGGGAAGAGGAGGTGGGGTACTGGTATAGTGTGGTGAGGAGGTGGGTACTGGTATAGTGGGAAGAGGAGGTGGGTACTGGTATAGTGGGGAGAGGAGGTGGGTACTGGTATAGTGTGGTGAGGGGGTGGGTACTGGTATAGTGTGGAGAGGAGGTGGGTACTGGTATAGTGTGGAGAGGAGGTGGGTACTGGTATAGTGGGGGAGAGGAGGTGGGTACTGGTATAGTGTGGTGAGGAGGTGGGTACTGGTATAGTGTGGAGAGGAGGTGGGTACTGGTATAGTGGGGAGAGGAGGTGGGTACTGGTATAGTGTGGTGAGGGGGGGGGTACTGGTATAGTGGGGAGAGGAGGTGGGTACTGGTATAGTGTGGAGAGGAGGTGGGTACTGGTATAGTGGGGAGAGGAGGTGGGTACTGGTATAGTGTGGTGAGGGGGTGGGTACTGGTATAGTGGGGAGAGGAGGTGGGTACTGGTATAGTGGGGAGAGGAGGTGGGTACTGGTATAGTGTGGTGAGGGGGTGGGTACTGGTATAGTGGGGAGAGGAGGGGTGGGTACTGGTATAGTGTGGTGAGGAGGTGGGTACTGGTATAGTGTGGAGAGGAGGTGGGTACTGGTATAGTGGGGAGAGGAGGTGGGTACTGGTATAGTGTGGTGAGGAGGTGGGTACTGGTATAGTGTGGTGAGGGGGTGGGTACTGGTATAGTGGGGAGAGGAGGTGGGTACTGGTATAGTGTGGTGAGGGGGTGGGTACTGGTATAGTGTGGTGAGGGGTGGGTACTGGTATAGTGGAGAGGAGGTGGGTCTGTATAGTGTGGAGGAGGTGGGTACTGGTATAGTGTGGGAGGAGGTGGGTACTGGTATAGTGGGGAGAGGAGTGGGTACTGGTATAGTGTGGTGAGGAGGTGGGGTACTGGTATAGTGTGGTGAGGGGGTGGGTACTGGTATAGTGGGGAGAGGAGGTGGGTACTGGTATAGTGTGGTGAGGGGGTGGGTACTGGTATAGTGTGGTGAGGAGGTGGGTACTGGTATAGTGGGAAGAGGAGGTGGGTACTGGTATAGTGGGGAGAGGAGGTGGGTACTGGTATAGTGGGGAGAGAAGGTGGGTACTGGTATAGTGTGGTGAGGGGGTGGGTACTGGTATAGTGGGAAGAGGAGGTGGGTACTGGTATAGTGGGAAGAGGAGGTGGGTACTGGATAGTGTGGTGAGGGGTGGGTACTGGTATAATGTGGAGAGGAGTGGGTACTGGTATAGTGGGGGGAGGTGGGTACTGGTAGTGTGGTGAGGGGGTGGGTACTGGTATAGTGGGGAGAGGAGGTGGGTACTGGTATAGTGTGGTGAGGAGGTGGGTACTGGTATAGTGTGGTGAGGAGGTGGGTACTGGTATATGGGAAGAGGAGGGTGGTACTGGTATAGTTGGGAGAGGAGGTGGGTACTGGTATAGTGGGGAGAGG